GTTGTTAGATGATGTGGGCCGTGGCAAATTCGTCGACGATTGTTGGAAGGAATTGATAGCAAATGGACCATGTTCGACTTTCTCTTAATCTCGGCATAGCTGAACTTGTCCTTCGAGCTGATTTAAGCCTTTCCGAGATACACAACTTTATCCAGCTTACGTTTCGGCCTCTTCGCCTTCTTCAGAGCCTTGAACTCAGAGGCCAACCACCAGGACGACCACACAAGAACAGAACTTCTGTGTACAATCGTATGCGTATGATAATAAATGATAAGCGTGTCCTTCATGATGAAACTGGGACCTTGCCTTTCTGTAGATCATGTGGGACGGGATGGATTTGCTTGTTTCAAGGGAGGAAATTACATAAGTCGATAAGGAGGCCATAAGAGTTAAAAGATCCCAGTTCGTACCTTTTTTCTGCAAGAGTGGAACGTTTGCTTAGAAGAACTTAAATGATGTAGGGATTCAAAACAGTTGATGAAAACGAAAGGAATCTAGGAAGAAACCGCGAGTTGGGCCATAGAAGCACTAAATCCATCTAGCACTTCGTGTCCTCAGTGAAACATGAGCATGTAGTAAGTAGGGTGACGGATTCATAGCTGATAAATGAGAATAATGGACAAGAAGTGATGAGGGGCCGTAGAAAGCAGGTGTGACTGGGTTCGTTACAGATATCGTGATAACTGTTGGACTGAGGCGAAATGTAGATTGTTGACAACTGGTTGTGATAACAACCAATAGCAGCTGAAAAAAAGCCATAAATGGCAAAAGTCGATATCTTAGATATTTTGTAATTGAAGTGGAACCTGAGCACATTGGTAGGTGATGTGGATGTGACAACACCGTAGATGGCTGGTAATAGAACCGATAGCAGTAACAGACAACGGTGATAGAACTCCTGACAACTGATAACAGCTGATAAGTGGCTATAGGATTAAGGATCTTTGCGTACGAGTAGAAAATGAAACCTCAATAACTTCGTAAAAGTAAGCAAGTTAGCGAATTATGAATGAAATTGGAAATGTTGAATTAATTGGACCGGAAGGAGGATGCCAAGTTCTGTGCTAAGCGTTGCGATGCCCTGAGAAAAAGCAGAAAAAGCAGTAACTCGGGATCAACTCGATGACCTTAGCTGCGTGCCACCGTCAATCATCGTCTCTGGGGTTGGATGAAAGCAGAAAGCAACAGATCCCAGTTTCAATGAACTATTTCGATAAGAGATTAGTGAAACACACTTCTGAAGTGGTTTGCTTTATTAGCTTTTTATTCGTTTTCGTTGATGTGATGTCTGTTAATCATAATTTTGGCCCACATTGTGGTCAGGAAACAGTATCCTAAGCTCTGCTGTGGAAGAAGGACTACATGCTGAAGTTGGTGGGTGCGTAGTAGGCTTAAAGTTGTCAAGTATCGTGAATGATCTGCTGCAAAAGCTTAAGCACCATGCTTTCCCTCAATGGGAATTAGCCAGACGGGCCACCCTGCTGACAGTTGATCCCGGCTTTTTGCGAGGCGTTTTTGAGATTATTTCACCTATTGTTTGGTCTAACGGATGCTTTCATCTCGAAGGCTGACCACACTGAGGCATTCATGGGATTTAGGTTAGGGCTTCAGAGTGGTCACTGATCGAAGATTATGAAGTCAGAGAGCCTCTTTTGCGAAATTTCTAGACAATTTCTGATCTGCGATCAGGAGCTTCATCTTGACAATATTTCCGGTCTGGATCGCCAAAGTGTCCTATTGCGCATGAAGAGATCGAACAGGCCTCCAAATCAACTTTCATTCCTTGATTACAAAAATAATCGGTGTTTTTGCCTCGGCGTTGAAGCTCGTAAAGGCCATCGCAGAAAGTTAGTTAGACTAGCGCTGTATTACTTCCATTTCGCTGAGCTTCATACAAATCCTGTCGCCCTGCTTATTGAGCACCTTCTTCACCGTGACTACGTTTTTTCGGTGAACAGAAATTCCGTACGACAATTTTTCGGATGCGGCAGGTCAGCCTTTGAGAGCCAACCTTTTTCTTCTCTTTAGCCTGCTCACAGATGAAATCACTTACTGATCGTGTAAAGGCCTCGTTGTGCAAATGATGATTCGGGATTTCGCGCAGAATACTCCGTGAGATATCCATTCATTCAGCTATTTTGGGCTCATAATGACATTCGCTGTTACGCAGATATTCGCCCTGATCCTTAACACTCTCCGTAAATATAACCGCAAGCCTCTTTGGTTTACCACTCCTACCTGCGATTGTTCCCAACTCTCGAAAACGTCTTATGGTTGAATGTCCCACCTGCCTTGTTACGCTAAGCTGTCTGTAGATGCACCGTGCCAAAAGCGCTTGCAAATGCTAAGTGATGATTGATTCACGGAGTAGTGACGCTTACGTTATTTTCAAAATCTACCAAAAGTTTAGTATCATTAGGAAGGTAATAATGTAATCTACCTTGTGCAATGGAATAAGGCGAACAAATTGTTATGAATCCAGAAAAATTTTGCTATGAGCATCAGCGCGCGCTGAAATCATAATTTTGGCCCACCCTGTAGTTTCTATAGAGTTTATATGCCACCTGTAGTACCATCTCAGCCTTCCAGACAGGAGCAGAAGATGTCAAGCATTCTGATGAAAATCGCTGTTACGTGGCGGAATGAGCAACCATACATGATTTCCTTAGTAAACTAGCACGAAGCCAGGAAAAAACGAACAGAAGTGCAGCCAAAGAACTCTCTAAGGGTCTGTTTGAAACAAAAACTGACTGCAAAGAAAATTTGAAGATGGATTGGGATTTCTGGGCTGTACATTCTTAAAACTAACATCTGTAAAGGTGAGATTCACAACCCTGCTGGAACAGGAAATCGAAGTTGAAGACGTTGAACAGTACATTTGTTCGTCGCCTCATAGATTACTTACCTCCCCGCCTTACCATAATTTTGTTTACAGGGAGGAAGCTACTGGTAGTTAATAGTTAGTCATTATAATTACTCAAATTGTTTTTCTCCCAAATAAGGAAGATTTTATTCGAGCCTGAGAATTGCTCTATCTGATGAAAGCACTGGATAACCCTACTGCAAATTTGAAACCTGAGCGTATCGCATACTGTTTCGCACTGACTTGCCATGCAGGTTTGTTATGGTATAACCGCCTTACTTGGTCGCCATTCGGAAATCGTCGTCTTCAAGGGTCTGAAGGTAGTTTGTAGCACAACAACAGAGAACCAATGAGACAATGCTGATGGTCGTTATGTAAGAAATACGCGATGATCTCAAAGCTCACTCTCAATATCGAAGCCCACAAATGAGGAATTCCAGTAGTTCTTTTATCACGGTCGTTAACACATTTCGGATGTTCGGCACCGAATTTCTCGCGCGGATATGTAGAGCTTCCATTGACCTTTTCAATCCGATCCCATCGTAGGCTAGGATTTTGCATTCAATGTTGAAATCATTGCCGTGATGTTCTTCTAGACAATGCCCTCCAAGTGATAATAATAGGCTTCCATGACTTCGTCCCACTAAACGTTCTTCAAGCAATTACCAAGTAATCTTACCGTCTCTCGACTTCTCAATCTCCATCTATTCCAAAAAGGCGAATGACGCAGTTATCCATGAATCATACACGGTCAGAAAGGTAATACGGATTAAGAGACATTTAATATTGTTCCCTGATAGGTTTTCAGGAGAACCTCAACAGCTAAATACGCTCTGCAATGCATTCGCATTTCTGCGCTGACTTTGTTTGATATGGAAGGAAGCTAGAGATGCGCAATATTGTCACGGCTTCACGGATAATACCTTTGTGAGCCCGATCATCTGTGTTGTAACCCACGACCATTCAACTTTGCAATCCCAGATGCTTGCTCAGTGACTTTTCCGTCCCACTTCGTCTGTACGACTTAATTAGCTGTTCTGCACATGTCACGAATAATTCCTCTTTTTCCATCTCCAAAGTAAGCAGATGGCGTGAAGTAAGATAGTTCTCGCTGATCTTTTTTTTGCAGCAATTGAAAATGATGACCTACGTTAGGAAGAATAAAAACCCTTTTCGGTTTTGGTGAGCTACCAGCAACAGTATTTCTTGCCTGAACTTGAATTGGTCAAAACCAAAATACAGTCAGCGCAGAATTCGTTCATGCATTGCACGAGCGTATTTGGGCAATGATGTTGTCTTGATAAATCTGCCAGGGGACAATGTCAAACCTCAACCAATCCACAGTAGGCCTTACCACCGTGCATGTTCTAGGGATAACTGCAAATCATTTGTTCGTTTGAAAAAGACGGAGATTGCACACAGCGAGGGATGTTGTATCAAATTCAGCGCTTAGCCTGTGACACCGGTGAGACGAGAAGGATGCTTGGTATACGCGTCAAGGGATGAAGATGTAGTTGGGGGGGGGGGGGGAGGGCACCTATCACAGTGCTAGTATTATAGGGTGCGAAAAATTACTTGCTCAAATATCCACCGCTGTAACGGTTAAACGATAGATTGAGAACTAATTTTTCTATAACACTTTATTTACATTAAGCCATTACGCACAATGAATTCAAATCACGAAAATCCCTCCACGGGCTCGGAAACAGCTTAAACGTAAGCGAAGTCGTCCACTGTGGCGCGAAGGTACTCCAAAGGTATTTTTTCCCATGCTCCGAGCAGGTCCCTCTTCAGCGAATCAATTGAGTGATGTTGCTTAGAGCAGGCCCTGCTCTCCAATAGCGACCCTACGGAATAATCCATTGGATTCAGATAAGGGTTATTAGATGGCCATTCCTGAGCATTGGTAAATCCTGGGAGGATGTCTCGGCACCACTGCTGGGTCGCCCTCGCTATATGAATCTTGTTGGAGCATGAACGGTCTAGAGCCGAAGTGATATGTTGTCCACGGAAGCAAGATGTTTTTCAGCACGCTCTCCAAGTAGGATTCCGTATTGATTTCTACATCGCTGTCGATGAAAACCAGCGGGAACTTTGCTTCGTAGGTGATCACTGCTCGAACCATGATTTTTTCTGCATGTCCAGAGCATCCATGAATTCTTCCCGTCTCGTTAGCTTCCTGAGCTGTCGAGCAGAGCACCCGATCGTTTCGACGGTTGAAGGTCGACTCCAACGAAAACAGCTTCTCATCGGAGAAGACAATGTCTCGGTGGCGCGCCAACGCAAACCGTTGGAGGAGCATCTTGGACTTCTGGGTCCGGTTTCTCTTCATGGATGCAGTGAGAAGGTGCACCTTTCGGCATCGATGAGGTGTCAATCTCAGCTTTTCTTTGACCATACGGCGAGCGGAACTATGACTTATTTCCAGCTTTTTAGCAATCTTCCTTATCGACCTCTTCTGGTTGCGCCGCACCATATCCCGTACAACTCTAACATTTCTCGTGAAAGTTGCAGTTGTTTTTCTCCCACTTCCTGGGCATTTTCTGTGGTACCGAGCTCCTAGATTGATGGTGAAGTCCACAGTTCTTCTGATGATTGATAGAGTTTTTGCGATGGTTTTGGGAGAGCGACATATCTGGTGTGACGGAATAATCGCGGGTCTGAGAGGATGAGATCCTGCCATTTTGGAAGGAGTAAGAGCTGAGGATCGAGGCTTGTGTTCTTGATAAAGGAAGAAGTGCCAAACATGTTCGCGGTTAATCGATAGATCATCGCTGCATTGAATCAATAGATCAAACTCTGCAACTTTGAGCAAGTAATTTTGGCGCACCCTGTGTATATCAAGATATGAACTCAATGTTCGTGTTAGTCCTTGTTGTATTAGAGCTGTATTAGAGACGGAGGAGAGGATGGGCACCGACCATCTGTTTGCTTTTATGCGGCTTTAGCCAAGGGAGTGTTGTTCTTTACCCAAGCCCAAGTAGGGTAGGAGCACCTGGGTGAGTGGTATGATTGCCCCGTGCGAAAAGAATGAAAATTTGCCCACATCGCTGCTTCTCACCACGTGAAGCTTAGTTAAAAACTTGCATTTGTGTGGTGTAACATGGAACAACACGTATCAATGAGTTCATTTCAGTTCATTTCCCAGTATACTAACATTGTGATGCGTGGCTGCGGGAAGTGATTTCGTGGGATTCATTCGTTTTTGTCGGCTTCGGAATTACCTAGCGACCATCAGCGGCGTCTCATTGGTTTAAGTTGTTGAGCTTCAAATTACATTCAGGTCCTTAAAGACGATGATTTGCTCGGAACATCGATTATATAAGGCTGTTCAAACATAACAAATCTGTACGGCGAAGCAGTACAAACATTATTGCGTAACCTCCACCACTTAACATAGGACTCAATGAAAATCAATCGGAAAAAGGACGAAAGGCTTCACAAGATCTACATACTTCAAAAAGACATCCAAACTCACATGATTCTCTTTGAGATAGTCGAGAGCCCTCACAACACTTACGGACATTTTCCCAACTATTGGCTCCGGAATTGGTTTGTTGGCCGTTCGCTTTAGCAATAAGTCTAGGCAAGTAGCCATAGCTTCCATGCACACCATAACCTCATTCTAAATGTAATTTTACCAATTCATGCAGGACGTAAGAAGTATTTTATCTCATATACATTTATTTATTGGGTTGTCCGAAAAGTTTGCGCCGATTTTTAACACCCCAGATTTATCAACCGTTGTACAAAAGACCAAGGACCCAACCTAATAAAGTTATATGTTTTCTGAAGGAGTAGGTCTTCCTCTATATTACTGTTGGGATTCTGTCAACATTTGCCGAAGTTTGTCATTACAGGACTCGTATGAAAATGGAGAACCACAACCACCATTTTCGACATCTGAGTATTTCTTCTACCGCAAGGCCTAGAACGCGGCTCAAGCCGCATAAAAGATATATGACGTTTGAGTAGACCATGCCCTAGAGGAATGTACAGTGCATGACTAGTTTGCGGAATCCAAACAGAGTGAATTTTCCTTCGAAGACCGGCAACCCTCAGGGAGACTATCATCAGTTTAAACGACCAACTCAAAATGTTAATCGAAGCGAACCGGCACACCACTGCTCGTGGAGTAGGACAAGGGCTTAGTGTTTCGAAATTAACCATCCATGGTCATCAGCAGACAACTGGTTTTGTAAAGCGCCTTGATGTTTAGATATTTCGTGAAAGGAGCGAGCGCAATGCGACGGACCGCGCCTCCATGTGCGACTCGTTGCTCAAACGAAATAAAAATGAGCCGTTTCTGAAACGCATGAGCACGAGAGATGAAAATTGGATTGTGTACAGCAACGAGGAGCGGAAACGATCGTGAAGCCCCCTAGTGAGCCGTCACAAACCACTGCAAAAGTCAAAATCCAGGTGCGGAAGACTATGCCAAGTTGTTGACGGGATTCTAGGGAAATAACTTACCATGAGCTGTTGTCGCATAATCAAACGATGACTTCGGAAAGGTACTGTAGTTAGCTAGTAAATATGGAATCAGCGGTAGACCAAAAGCGACCCGAAGTAGCCAATCGTGAGGGTGTAATCTTCCAGCAGGGTACCCCCAGACTACACGTATTTTTGGCCACCCGTCAAAAGTTGCTAAAGCTTGGGTGGGATGTCTTATCACACTCCCCACATAGCCCAGACATAGCACCATCAGGATACCACTTGTTTGGATTTCTGCAAAATTCTTTGAAATGAAAATCGTTCAATTAGCTGGAGGACTGCAAAAAGCACCTGAGAGGGTTCTTCGATTTTAAGTCTGGAACCTTCTATGGAAGAGGGCAACTGGAACCTATAGAAAGACGGCGGATCCTTACTTAACAGAATGGAGGATATATTGTTCAATCAATGTATTTCTCCTCCTAGGAATTTTCATTCAAAGATGAATCAAAAATCGGCGGGAACTGTACAGACAACCCAATACATAGAAGTCAGTCACAACGATTCACAGTACTTCGTATCACTCCAATACACGAACAATGAGGAAGTTTGTAGTAATAGTTCCATGCCTACCTTCGAGCACCCGAGGACCTGTACATAGCAATGAGTCTCCCAAGAAATCTTCATGGATCTTGAATGCGCTGGGTCTAGCTACTATTTTATTTCAAACAAATGAGACATGTAGAATCAAAAGACTCACGCCAGTCTCCTTCTTATTTAAGAATTGGATTGCCATACTTCCTCCTGTTATTAGATATAGATTCTTTAGATCGAAGTAATTAGTCAGTAGTCCCACACCGAATAAAAATCGACACTGATCGAAATCTGCCACCCATCACCATAAATAGGGAATGAAGCTATGCATAACCGTTCAAACACAGCAGATCGATATAAGTTGGCGCATTGACCAACACGCCCGCACTGTGAATCCTACCAAACGGACGCTTCATGTCTTTTAGGGGTGTAAATAGAAAAAAAATTCACACTAATTCATTCACACTAGATTAGTGATTGATCGACATCGACACGTAGAGCACCTCCATTCAAATCTGCTTTAGTTCTTAAGCGTTCCGTTCCTTGATTTGAGGGAGCGGAGCTCTGAATACCCAGTCATTTACACAAGTAAAACGATGTCGACGAGTAGTGAACTGCAGCGCAACTTCAATCATGCTTCAAGGGTCTGTAACTGAAGGGAGAGAGGATACTGATCATCAGCTGAATACACAAAAATTCGATATATCATTATTGCCGAACAACAGCTACCTATTCTACTACACCTAAATTACCTTCATTCATGCCACTCCTTTGAAATTCGAACGCCTCTCCTTTCCGCCTTCGTCTCTTTTCTATGAATGTCAGTTTCTGTTCACTTCTACGCCCTCCTTTGGAAGTTTTCAGAAAAGGGAAGCAGATACTTCGTCCTCGCTCCACCCATTTTGGTGGGCGGCCAACGTAACATAATTGGCGGATTCTCATTTGAATCGGCACTGCGGCACGGGAAGAATACTTGCTAGCAAAGGCCATTCAAGGAGAGATGTATACCATGTACGTACCTTCGAATGCTGATTTCAAGTCTGCTTTTCTTATCCGCGAAACGATGCTGGGAACACAGTTATGGAACCGATTCTCCAATGTGTTATGCCACTGCACCGAACGGATGAACGAATCGATATGTGTTCTAGCTGTGCAAAGGTGGTGCATCTGGGAGAGCGCTGAACGCATAAGCTTGACATGAAGCTGAGTCCTTGATGCATGCGCCCATATAGCTTTTTCATAAAACGGATCTCAAAACTCGTCGCATCTGAGTAACTCGTGGAATGGTAATCGCTTCGTCCCTCGATTACGCGCATGCCCCCTACTTCCGTGGAAGGAGTCTCGTCATGCAACCAGCCGTTAGGGCTACCATCCCGCCACCTGTATGCCTACCAAATTCGAACGATCTACGTCCACCTGAACAAGAGTTGAGCGTTTCCGGTCAATTACGCATACAGCAACACACATACCCGCACACATACACATACAGAAACACTGACAAGCCAACAGACATATATTGTGGAATAAGCTTTTCAACTTCAAGTGAATCGAAACAGATTCGCGTGGTATTGCCCGTAAAGTAGGGTCAAGACCCAATGTATCGAAATAGGACCATTTAGTGGTTGATTTCTAAAGCTGCCTTCAATTCAGAAACGCCGCATTGAAAGGATAGCAACCACATCGATTGTATTCTCGAATGGTATTTGTGCTTGATGGCGTAACAAGAATCAGCCCTTTCCGAGGCGCGTGGTAACGATTCTGAGAAATGGACTGTCTAGAACAACGAAGCACGAAGACAATAATTAGTTATTTTCATGGAACATCATCAATTAATTCGAAAACCAAAATTCATCCGCGATGGTCATATTTTAGCCGGTGGGTCTGGAATGTAATTGTATATGATGATCTGAGGATAAATCGAAGGCAGACATCGAAAGAAATATCCAGTCGCGAAAGAATGGTTTCAAACAGAAATAACTCTGGACTCCTCGCATCTCTAGCCACCCGTCAGAAATTAATGAAGTATTGGGATATCTTACGCGATGATAGCAACACCCTGCTACGACACGCTCAAGCATATTCGGAAATGGATAAACGGGACATCGTTTCACTCTTTGGAGGACTGCAAGTAGCACCTGATTCTTCAGCTCCAAGGTTGTATGAAAGCAGGATTATGAACGTTCCAAAAAGAACCAGCTAATATTTGGAAAAAGATCACAAACTGATGATTATCAAGACGATGAGTTGAACTGTTCTCTAAAAAACTTGTTTTCTAACCTAATAGAATCGACAAAATTCTTCGGAGAATCTGATACTTTAATAAATTATGGGAAAAAAGAAAGACACTTCAATATCTTTCCAGTTTTTTTTTAGGTTTTTTAGAAGCTTCCAGGAACTAACCCTGATATGGGCATCTAAAATGGAGAACCTTCGAGCTGTTGGATAATTTAACTTGTTTATTCCACTTTCTACGCGTGTGGCAAAGGAGATGATTTCTCGAGATAGTTTTCGACTGCGCCTTTCTAGTATGTAGCAACTGCGCTTCAACGTTATCAAGACCATATTAAATGATACCATGATGATGTGGTCTAACACTGCCTCGTCGTTATCACTGCCTCGCCCTCAAAAAAATCGCTGTGGACCACTTCGTTTCCGGCGACTGTTCCGGCGACTTTCACCTAGACAAAAATAACAGCTCTGAAAGACTCATCAAGGTCGACATCGATCTTTTACGCTGGGGTCGATTCTTGTAAAGTACTGACAAAGCAACGGTGCCGGTGCCGTTTGTCAGAGTCGCACAATCTCTGCCCGTTTCGAGCAGAACTAGGAATAGGTGTTTCCCATCCCTCATGGTTTATCCTCATACCAGCTGTAACCACGAGATGACATAAACGTAGATCTTCTCGACTCCTTCGAGAAAAGTAAGCGCTCTGGAATACCCTCCGGGGAAATCACAATTACGTGCAGCGCTTAACCACAACATTGAGCGCCAGTGGTATGGCATCGAAAAAACAGACGACAAAGACGCCGAAACCAAAATTGCATCTTGTGCATATCTTTTCGAGTTCGAGTGGACGATACCCACGTAGCTGTTGCAGATGGAACGACGGTTACGCCGTTTATCCATGTTAGCAGAAGCGGTGGCGCTGAAGCTGCTAGGAAGTAGGAAGCGGCCTATCTCTCGTACAACAAGAGCGGATTTTTCAAAGAAACGCAGCACAGCGACCTCAAACTGAGCTTGTTTGTTTGGTGAGCTTTACAAAGCTTTACAGTAAGCTTTGCAAATATGATAATGACAGAATTCACGAAAGATGCAAATAATAGCCGACAGCGTGGAAATTATTTTATCTGAACTTGTGCTAGTTTCAAAAACAGAAATAACCAAACGTAATATTGGATTGTAACGGTAATCCTTACTATATATAAACCGTTGTTGTCTGTTTGACTGTTTGTCTTA